GTGTGTGTGTGTGTGTGTGTGTGTTTTGTTTTGGGATATGTAAAATTTAGGCTGGCCTGCAGCTCAGTGATCCTCCTGCCTCAACCTCCTGAGTGCTGGGATTAGAAGGATGCACCACCTCGCCTGACTAAATCCATGTTCTCATAAGCAACAACAGGAGGGCAGCTCAGCTTCTGATCATTTTCTCCCAAGCCAGGAGGAGCAGCGGGGTTTAAGTGGAGAGAAACAGGTCCTCCTCACCGTGACTGGGAGGCATGAGTAGAAGTTTGTGTTTAGAATGGTTTGGGGTGTAAAGGAGGGATTGAGGACATGAAGGAAGGTGGACAGAGGGAAACAGAATGAGCGCTCCTGGACTTCCGAAGATGGGAAGGGATGTGTGACTATGTCACCTCCGTGTCCTGCTGGCCACATCCATTCCTGGCTGCCAGTGCCACCATTTGCGAGTGGACATGACCGGGTGTACTGGCCCACATCAATATCTACAAACAGTGGCTATGTGCAAATCAAGGCAGCGTGTGTGAAGCACCATAAATGGCACTGTGCTCCTGTCTGTAGTCATCTGAGTGGCATCATTACCAGCTGTCATCGGACCCGGTCAGGAGAGCAATTGCCTTTCAACTGGAGTCAAAACATGCCGTCTCCAGAAAACTGGAGGCACGGGGAAGAAAAGTGTTTTGCAACAAAATAATGCACCACACCCCGCCCCCAGCTCTCCTCTCTGCCTCAGTTCTTTCTTCCAACACCGGGGCACCTGGCAGCTGTGCACCGGAAGGCCAGATGGCCCTCCAGGGTCAGGCTGTCCTCCAGCCCAGGTCTCGGGTCTCGCCGCAGTCACTGTCCAAACTCAAGCACCATTTCCGGTTTAAAGGAAACTGGTTTAGAAATGAGTTGTTTGGAGCCTTCCCGCCCTCAGAGAACCCTGCAGTACCTGGAAGCAAAAGGGCCTGGAGCTAGCTGCTGGTTTTTCCTTACATGACCAGGAACAGAGTGGATGCTACACGCTGGGTGTGGGCTGATCCTAAAGGATTAGAAAGAAGTGGATGAGGCTCCTCTTCTCCGCACCCCTGGCTCATTCTTGGGTCTGGAGTCCCATTCGATTTCCATTTGATTTTCTTCTCTAGCTTTGCCCCAGCTACTTTGTGAGACAGACCTGCTCCCGGAGCCTCAGTTTACCCACCTTCCCATCAACCATGGTGTGCTCAGTCAGTCGTGGACAAGCAGGATTTTTGTGTGTGCGCTTTTTAACACCCTCATTTTGCAAATAAGTAAACTGAGGCCCAGAGAAGGGGGATGATTTGGTTAGGGCTATGGCCTGGTCCTCTTTTGTGTCTCTGGAGGTGGCCAGGCTGATTGAAAGGGCTGGCTGATGGAACGCATGATTGGCGGGTTCCAGTTTTGGAGAGGACCGCTAGAGTGAGCTAGACTTCGAAACACAAGTGCAGCTGCGAGTGGGCAGTGGCATCTGGCAGCCACTTTCCAGCTGGGTGACCTTCAACAATGTTTTTTTTTCTAAAGCTCAGTTGTAAAAGGAGGCAGTAGAAACCTGAAAACAATGGTAAGATTATGCAGTAAAGCCCAGAGGACTGGTCCCTCGCTGCCCCACCTGGGGCAAAGGAGCACCATGAGTTCTGGGGGCTCTGGTGGGCAGGTGTGTGGGGGGGAACCGTGCAGACCACCTGGGGCTCATGCACCTGTAATTACCCTGCAAAGCCCACCTCATCACCAAGGCTACTTGTGGGAGGTATCCGGGGTCCCCCTGTGGCAGGTGACCGTAGGAAATTCCAAGCCAGCAGTCCATGTTTGACCTGGCTTCCCCTGTGAACCTCTAGCTGTGCCTGGCCCTGGCCCCAGAGCCCTTCTGCCAGCTGCTGCTCCTTGCAGCTGGCTCCTCCAGCTGTCAACCCTAGAATTTGCTCCCTGCTCTGGCAAGACATGCAGGGGACCTGGAGTCATCCCAAGGCTCAGCTGGGGCATGGAGCTAATAAGGGCTTAACAGCAGCTGCACGGGCCGCTGTGCAGGGCGTGACCTGGGTGGCTGCTGAGCTGAGGGATGTGGACAAAGCCCTGGGGGAGACATGGGCAGCGAGTTTGATTGGGTGCCTGGTGCTGTGAGGAAATCTCACCACAGGTAGCAGCCAGGCACCGCTGTCTAGGTTTGCTCAGAAAATGCATTTTGGCGGGGGCCCTGGCTGGTGGGCAGCTTGGCAGGGGCTGTCTCATCTCCTGAAGCCAGTCCTCGCCATCAATCCTGCGACACATCCTCAATCTCCTGAACCATATCCTGTCTCTTCAGAAGCATGTACTGACAATGAGGTGCAGCTCTGCCACTTTAACAGAGGCAGAACAAAGTGGGAAACTAGGGAGAGGAAAGATGCAGGCCTTGGGGTCCAGAAGGTTCAGGTCTGAGTTCCAGTGATACCTTGTACCACTGCCTTGTACCACAGTGGTTCTTTTCTAACTTCAGTTTCCTCATCTATGACGTGGGAACGCCAGTCCTGCTGTGCCTCCTGGCCGTGCTGAGAAATGAGAGGCTGAGTCTCCCAGAGAAGGTGGTTACTGCTAACCGTTCCTCCGCATGGTCGTCTTCGGGCAGCTGAGAAATTGGCAGGGATGCTCGCAGCAGGGCCTCAGGTGACAGAGCCCCCACCTGGCTTTCAGGGAGTGTGTGTGCCCCACAGTGTCCAGCCAGTGTGGCCCCTGTCAATTAACTACAGCCCTGGCATGGTGGCAACCGGGGATCCCCTCACCGGAGGGAAATGAAGCTTTACCCTCGAATGAGAACAGGCGGCTAAAAACTGGCCCCCAAGGAGTTGAGGTGGCGGACCCTGCATGGTTCAGACTTGGGCCCCCCAGGGCCGAGAGCACTCCAGGGTCTGCTCTCCTAGAAGGGGCCCTCTTCTCAGCATTTGTTCCCCTGAAGACGCTATTTGAGGATGTCACTGGGCAGATACTGCCATGGACAGGAAGATGAGGAGGGCAAGAGCGGAAGAGCAGGCCCAGGTGACAGCCTGGCAGGATGCGGAGAGCGGCAGAGTCCAGGGCTGGTGGGGAGGCAGGTGGCTCCGGAAACCCGCAGGGCTGTGACAAAACCTCTGGTCAGCCCGCTTCACCCGAGGCTTTCCTTCACCCAAGACCAGTGTGCGGAGCCAGCTGTGCAGGGGGCTCCTGCCCGAGCAGCTGCGGCCCAGGCAAGTTCTGACACCCAGCAGGTACCTGCTCAGAAAGTCAGAGCGCCAGACCAGGGCCTCTGGCAGTCGTCAGTGCCCCAAGGGAAGCTGGGTTTAGGTCCAACCAAAGGTCATAGTCTTGAAGGCCAACCCAGAGGCCACAGAGGGGAGCCGGTCCCCTGGTCTCAGGCACATGCTTGGCACACGGGGCTCTGCAGTGGGGCAGCAGATCATAGGATCAGCTCAGCAATTTAACAGCAAAACGTTCTTCTCTACGAAATGCGCCTTGTTCTTAGGCCTTGAAGAAATGTTCTAGGCCTTGCTTTTCCCATTCTTGGACACTACGATTCACTCCAGCCATCATTTAAATCCCATTCCGTGGTCTTAGGGTCGGGAGAGACGGCTAGAGAGTGATGTGAGAGAAGAAAGCCACACAGCCAGTTTACATAATGGGCTGGTACCTGCAGGAGAAGGTCACAGTATTGTAGCTCAGAGCACAGCCTGAACATCTGACCTACATCAAGACAGTGGGTAAGAGCGAGGACGTGGAACAGTCCACTGGCTCTGCCACTGACTGGCTGTGCAGCTGTGAGGAAGCTGCTTAGTGTCTGCATCTCAGCTTCCTCGCTGTGTGACAAGGATAACCGCACCTCTCGCATGAGTATGTCCGTACCTCCTGTTGACAAGACCCACTGCAAGGCTCTGTGTAGTAAGGCTGGCCTGATACAGGAGCTCAGTTAGCTATCATCATCCCTCCTCATTATCGAAGGTGCCAGGCCGCCCAGAGCACCCTTGGGGAAGCAGGAGGAGAAGGGGGCAAAGACTTCAACCAGGAATGTTTGTGGGGGGCCTGCTGGGAAGAGGGGGTAGAAGTCTTCCTCCCCATCCCTCTGGGGTCTCACGCGGCCCTGGGAGAGACCCCCACCCTGAGCCGGACTTTCAGGGCCCAGGCCACATCTGCCTGGGGAGACTGTGCTGTTTGTGATGAGGGAGGCTGGGCTTGGGGAGCCCCTGCTGTGGGCGGAGCCCTGGGCCCCTGCATCCTGAGGAGGAGAGCAGTGGTTTATCAGTTGTCCCCACCCAAGCCCAGGTGCTCAGAGAGATAAGCTCAAGCCCAGGCCCCTGAGCTTGAGAAGACTGTATTTTCAAACAATTGTGCCTACGCAAATAATAAATAATTATATTTGGAAAGTATAGCAACGCAAATAGGAAGGCAAAGAAAAGAGGGAGGAGAGAAAGGGAAAGGACAGGAGACATAAAAAAAATTAAGATGAGCTATCTGCATGTACCAGCTCCCCACGATGAATGTGATCATTACATACTGCAAATATGTACCAAGAAAAATGAAATCTTTAAAAGATTTAAAATAACTAAAAAAGAAACAAACGCCAAAAAATAACATTTAACAATTGCCCTAATTTCCACCAACCAAAACAACCACCCTCTGTATTTCAGATCATTTTTCATGTATTACTTTGATGTGTTTAAAATAGCACAGTTATAAGCAGGATGTAATTTTATTCTATATTTTCTCACTCGGCAATACTTTATAAGGTTTCTTCGTTATAACAGACTTTATGCACACAATTTTAAAAGTCCTTCTGTGATTTTAACTGTGTTCTTCTCTAGTCGTGCCAGTATTATTAGACCATTTTCAGTTTAACACTACTACTGATGATATCACGCTAACTTCTTGGTATTGCAGCATATTCTATAACTTAAATCATTTTCTTGGAGTAAATCCCCCAAATGGAATTCATGCGGTTAAAGGACATGAACATGTATAAGGTATATAATTTTTAATAGAGTACCACACATTTCAAATGTCTTCCAGTTTGCTTCCTATAGCATTTGTAATACAATCTCACTATAAAAATGTTATCATATACAGACAATAAAAGAATGGAAAAATGACTAATCATTCCATCACCCCAAAGTAATGACTTTGACCCTTTCAAATAAAACTGGCCCTCAGTTTCCTTTTTTTCCAGGAAACCACATACACACACACACACACACACACACACACACACACAGATCCTAAAATCTGAAGATGTTCAAGTCTCTTATATGTAATGGTGTGTATTCAGCTATATCCTATGCCTATCCCCTGTGTGCCTCAAGTCATCTACTGGGATACCTGGTACAGGGTCAGTGTTATGCAGGTAGCGTACTCTACTGTTGGAGGAACAAGAGAATGAAAAAAGTTTGAATATATTCTGTACAGATGCAATTTTCTCCTTCAGATAAAGAGAGCTGACAGAATTCCCTTCCTTCTGCATCTTTCTGTGATAATTTTGCATGTGAAAATGTATTTCTCACTTATTTCAACATCATTAAGAATTCTTCTAAAACATGATTTTAATTACTATGGAATGGCCCAGAGTGTATATATCATTATTATAAATGATCCTAAGCAAATGCTAAGAACCCCGTGTATTCATGACGGGAACAGTACTGGTGGGGGCCACAGAATCGGAAATGCTCTTCTGAGGGTCGCAGGGAACCAGGTTTTGCCCATCTAAAGGAGGTGGACCGTGTGTCTCAGGCAAGATGGTGACAGCAGTGGTCACCCAGAAAGTGCTCCAAGGGGGTGCGATGAAATGCCCCCAGGATGGGGCAGGAGGTAGGGTCAGCTTAGGGATTATATTATAATTCTCAGGTCCAGATGTCAAAACCCAAACTCAAACCGGACTATGCAGAAGAGAGGAGGATTTGCTTGCTGGCACTACGGGGAGGCCCGTGGGCGGCAGCTTCCATCCTGACGGGACCTGGGACCCACGTGGTGCTCCCTGAGCCTCTCCTTGCTCACCGTGCCCCGCTGTCCCCGGTTCAGCGGGAATCTCAGGCGGCAGCCCCGATGCAGCGGCTCCAGGGTCCTCAGCGCCGGCCTGGTGACCTTGCACGCTGAGTCGGCCACTGCGGCCAGCGGGGACCCATCTCTAAGTGGCACCCGTGGTAGGCAGGACCCACAAGAAGCACGTTGGCAAGTAGGGGAGTGGTTCTTCAAAGGAAAACCGCTTTGCTGTCCTCGAGAGAAGACAGGGCAGTGGACCGTGAAACACTGGCGTCCTCATCACACGCAGAGCAGAATGGAGTGATTGTGAATCATTCCAGGAGCTGCATTTGGACTTACAGTGATCACTGAGGAAATCAGGACGATGATGCATGATGGTGCTGGAGGAGTGGGCAATGTCCTATAGTCCCAAATTCCTAGAGCACCCTATGGGGCCTTGACTATAGCGCCATCTAGCGCTGTCTCGTGGCGTAGCGGGGAGCCCAAAGCAAGCAGCCGTGGACGATTGCTCACCTCTTGCTCCCGTGGGCTTGGTGGTCTGAAAAAAGCACAGAGTCATTGCACAAAGGTTTGAAAGGAGTTTGGGGAGAAGAAGCCAGGAAGACATGAGATCAGCTGTTGGCGCTTTGAAGAACTGACCTCCCGGAGGAAGAAGAAAGTCTACGTGGCTCCAGGTCAGAGCTAGCACTCCTGAGCAGAAGCTAGAAGGGAATTCGGGGTTAATGGTTAAAGTCAAAACCGTCTGATTCAGAAGTGGGCTTTCTTCCTAGGGAGTGAGCTCCCTGACCATAAAAGTGTTAAAGTAGTGATTTAGATGCCTCTCATCAGAGCTATTGTGTAAACACCTGCATACTCGGTGTGGGATACAGCCAGAATACTTCTGGTTCCTAGATGTAATTTCTGTGACTTCATTAAACCCTGGAGGAAAACAAAACCACCAGCCAAGTGGTGCAGTGACTAAATGGTGTCCTCCGTGACTTTCACTCCTCTTTCCTGACTGCACCTTCTGTCCCCAGCACCGCATCCCACCCGGAGCCTGTATTCTGTCACTGCCCTGGGTCGCCTTCCACACACCGCCCCTCAGCTGCAAAACTGCTCCCCAGCCTCCCCATCCCAGCGTCTGACACCCAGGGAGCCACTGACCAAAACTCCAGAAATGCACAGCCCAGAGGCCAGAATTGGTGAAACCCAGTCTTGCTTGAGGAAGTATAAACTTAATTATGAATGACCCCTGTCATAAATCTTTAATTACTTTTCATGCACTCACAACCTCCTTCACTCTTAACTGTGTCTCCTTTAATCTTGTTTCCTCCGGCCAGGTCGCCAGGCGCTGTAGGCAGGTGTTTCGTAGCACAACCTTCGGAATCCTCCACAAAACTTAGTGCTTCCGTTACAGGAGAGTAGGTGTCAAAAGTAATGTCAGCAAACTGCATTCATGACCTTATTTGTTCAAAACATGCAGGGAGGACATCTATGTGTCCAGCACCATGGCATCTGGAAGGGGACAGAAGAAAGTCAGCAACCTAGGGGATCCCTCTGGAGTAGAAAATGGAAACCACCTACTAAGTGCCAGAACTACTAAGTGTGCATCCTGATGACATTTAACTCTAGACAACCCCAGCAGGCAGGAATTACTAGCTTGTCTTTATTTTATTTTTGTTTGTTATTTGAGATGAGGTCTCACTCTGTAGCCCAGGCTGGCCTTGTACTCACAGTGATCCTCCTGCCTTGGCCTCCCGAATGCTGGGATTACAGGCGTGGCCCCCCATACTCAGCTCTATTTTTTAATATTTAACGGGTTTTTTAATTTATATTTTTATTAGTACCGGTTTGCAGTATATAATGATCACGTTCCTCATGGGATTGGCACACGCACAGTGCGCATCTTAATTCTTTTTTGTCAATCCCCTTCCTTCTCTCTCCCCCCTCCCTTGTCCCCTTCCCTTTACAAAAGAGCTCCCTGTTCCCTATTATCCTTTATTTTGCTCTTTAATTTATTTATATTTTGAGTTTCTCATATAAGAGAAATTATGTGATATTTAAGCTGGTATGCCTGATTTATTTCACTTAATATTGTGGTTTGCATCCATTTTCCTACAAATGACTCAAGTGTATCCTTCTTTCTGGCAAAGTAGCACTCCATTTAAGAAAACTTAGGTCCAGAGAGGACCTGGCCCAGAAAATAAGTGCCAAAACTAAAGCCAAGTCATTCTGCTCCTTTCTATTTGCCTATGAACAAGTGAACCAAATACAATTACGGAACCCATGAGCTTCCATCGGGAACGATGTGCTCCTCCTTGTAGGAGTCCCCAAAAATAAAAGGGTCTTTTTTCCCTACGACTGGATCCGGAGCATAGAGCAAAACTCTTCTAGTTTAGTCCTAGTGGGTCCTACAAAGAAATTCATCCATTCGGGTAAAAAGTGGAGACGTCTTTCGGGTCGAGCTCTGTGGCGTCGCTGCCCGGAAGTGAGCTAGTCCTGAGCTCCTGGGGTGGGGGCTCTGACAGCTCCGGCCCGGCCCCGCCCTGCCCTGCCCTGCCCGGCCGAGCGCGGTGAGAGCCTTAGCTCGGGTGCCCTCTAGTGGTGAGTCTCAACCCTTGCTGCCGGGCTCGAAAAGGAGCCCAGCGTCTAAGAGGCCAGATGCAGAGCGGGCCTGGCGTAGGGAGTCCTGAATCCCAGCCCAGAGACTCGAGAGGATCCCAGGAAGAATTCACCCGCTGCCCGTGTCGCCCGTGTCAGATCCGCATCCCTGAGCTCAGACGCCTTTCTGGCCAGCCCTCACCTTCCAGGTTTACAGGAGAGAATTTGATTGACCCTTCTCACTCTCTTTTCTACTTCCATTCACGTAAATCACAGAGGAAGGGGCGGAGGGGAACCTCAGCTAATCAGGCTTTGAATCTCGAGCACACACGTGCACCCCTACATCCATCTGTTGGCGGGGTCAAGCAGCATAGGGTCTCTCCAAGGGAGCGTTTCCTAAACACAAGCCTGAGGCAAAAAACATCCGGCAGCCCGGGCAGGCAAGTGGTGAGGGGAAAATGCTGTCCTTGCAAAAAGAGGCCCTGCAAATGGGGCCTAGGAACCAGCGGGACCTCATAACCTCGTCAGGTGCGAGGCCCACCTCTTCTGTTCGCCTGGTTCCACATCAAGCCACACCTCTGCACCAGCTCCTCCTTCCAGCAGTGGCAAGCAGCTGTGCAGAGCTGGGATCAAACAAGAAAGGAGACAGGCAGCTCTGAGGATCCACAGATGCAGCCTGGCCGCAGGGTCAGAGACATGGGGAGCCACATGGCATCCCAGACAACTCAGTTACTTTCTCATTGCTGGGACAAAATACCCAATACCCACAAGTTATAGGAGTAAAGGTTTATTTTAGCTCACAGTTTGTAGAGGTTTCAGTCCCTGATCAGCTTGCTCCAAGGCAGGGTGGCAGGCAGAGGGGCATGGCAGAGGAGAAACAGTCCACAGAAGGGCAGGCAGGAGGCACCAATCCTGCTTTCCTTCTGTCCCTTTATATTCCATCCAGGCTACAAGCCTATTGTTGGTCCCACCACACCCAGGATGGGGAATTCTGCTAATTCAATCAGTGGGCTAATCAAGCTATCACACACTCATAATCCATATTCACACACCCTAGATCCAGCCAAGTCTGAAAGGCCCAGTGATGACCACACGAGGCTGAGGCTTTGCAGGGACATCTAGATACAAGCCATAACACCAGAGAATGTGTGAATACAATGGAGTGACACACAGTTCTCCCATGGGATACATTTGAAGACTCCCTGTGAATGCCTAACTCCACAGCACCTAACCCTACATAAATTACTTTTTTATATACATAGTTATGATGTTTATTTTATAAATCAAGTACAAATTAATAATAGCTAAAATAGATCAATTATAACAATACACTGTAATAAAATTGCCAGTATCATTACTCTAGCTCTTTGGGACAATTATTGGGTAAAATAAGGGTTATTTGAACATAACCACTGCAATTCCACAATAGTCCATCTAATAACCACACTGGCTTCTAAGTGACTAGTGGGTGGGTAGCATATACAGCGTGGATGCACTGGATAAAAGGACAATTCAAGTTCTGGGTGAGACAGAGCAGGATGGTGTGAGATTGTGTCACACTACTTAGAATGATATGCAATTTAAAACATGCATTGTTTATTTCTGGGATTTTTCATTTAATATTCAGTTTCCCACAAGTAACTGAAACTGCAAAAATTGAAACCTTCTGTAGGATAAAAGGGGACTATTGGACTGACTTTCATATTCTACAGGAGGTTGAAGAGATAAAGATAGGAAGAAAGGAGACAAGGAAAGTTATAACTTAAAATTGTACTTTTAAGAAGACTGCAACTCCAGGACACAGTCAAAGTTACCCAAGATTCGCTATACCAGTATGCCTGGGTTTGTTTATGCTTCTCTTCTTCTAGGCTCATCACATCCAAAATCTCTTAGACATGTTAAGTCCATAAATTAGCTTAGTTGATAAAGTAAAGCGCAGAAACTCGAATTTACAGAAATAGATTGAGAGAGCTTGAAGAATCTTTTCAAGGAAAGCATCTTAGATCATCTATCCAAAAATAAGGCTCTTGCCTTTCACCTGTAAAATGGGCCATTATCTTTCAGTGGGTGTGGCTTCCTTTATCCTATAAACCAAGACCAAGATGGACCTTCCTATAGGTTCAAAAATTTCAGATTGCCACTGGCAAAACACATAAATATGTCCAGCTGCAATCAACCCCCCCCCTTCCTGAAAATTCTCTTTCCATGACAAGAATCAGCAAACTTGCAACTTAACTCCACAGGTAGGGTGGGTTTAGGTTCCTCATCACGCTTTGGCAACCTCCTAGGACACTGTTTGGTGACAGACTCACTCAATGTAGTCACTCCTTACATGAGGAAACAAATAATGTAATATATTCAGTGAAAGTATACACTTTTGTATTTCAAAATACATTTTTATTTTAGATCTTGTGGTAGCGCAAGTAATCTTTTCCCTGACTGACTGGTATCTTCTATGATGAAAGGGACCTTGCAGATGTGATAAGGTAAGGACCTTGCACTGGGGACATTCCCTTGGGTGCCCCAGGGAGGCTCCCTGTGATCCTATCTGTCCTCCAGAGAACCTCCTCAGGCTTTGGACAGAGAGAGATTTCAAGCCTTTGAAGAAGGAGGAAGGGGTCCGTGCATAAACAAGGACCACTGACGCCTCCAGAAGATGGTAACTTGGTGGATTTGAATCCCCCCTGGAGTCTCCAGAGAAGAACGTAGCCCTGGGGCTACTTGGGCTTTAGCTAGGTGTAGACCACATCTACAGAACTGTAAGATACAAATACTTATGTTACATGAACTCATGAAGTTTGTGATAGTTTGTTGGAGAAGCAATAAGTAATAACAGGTCTCCCTCTTGCCCTTGGGAGTATAAGGTCTCATTCAGCATCAGAGAACTCCCAGCAGATAGGCAGACTCCCTTTCAGACTTTGCATTCCTATAAAAGCCGTGTTTGGATTTTCTTTAGGAAGCTGGCACCTTTCCTATTAATAATCTATTTTATTACCTAAATGCCAAAGATCTATTTGATTCCTCGAGTAGATCTCACGGAGCTGGTCACCAGTGCTCCTGGCCTCCATAAATATCTGTGGGCTCTTTAAAGACTCCTAAGACAGGAGCTTCTGGAGATAGCTCTGTGTCCCTCGAGATTCACCAGCACATACCTTAGAGAGAAGCAGCAGTATGTTCCATGTAGCCCAGGCTGGCTTCAACCTCACTACGATGCTTCTGTCTCAGCCTCCCAAGTGCTGGGATTACAGTCAGGCACCACTAGGCCTGGCAGTATATTTGAAAGAAAGGATTGACATCAGATCTGCTTTACCAGAGAGTATTGACTCCTTAAGAAGCACACAGGGACTCCTAAAGTTGTCCATACTCCCTTACTGCAGGAGTTCCATTCGTGGGGATTTACCCTAAGGAAGTAAATCCACATAAAATAGTATTTCCTCAGTAATCATTTACTGACTGACCTAAATGAGTAGGGCAAGCCACACATGGGCCTCAGTTTCCCCATGGGACACTTCTAAAGACTGCAGCAGTGGAGGCTGTCCCAGGCCAAGAGAGAGGAGTCCTAAGTAGGCAGAGCCCCAGAGCACTTGCACGCTTAGGCCTTGTGCCAAATGTGAAGTAATTAAAGAGCACCAAAATACACGTATCACCTGCTCTAGAGGCTGAGGGATGCCCTGATCATAAAAATGTAAGTGATCTGTTCAGGTGAAGGGCTGATGGACGAAGCAAGCTGCTTTGTCAAGGTATGAAAAATAATTCCACTTACCTTTGCATTATTTTTTTAGTTGTAATCATCATTGCTGCATAGCTGAGGGATAAAGCAGGCAGAAAGGCCACATTCTCGCCCACATCATGCTGCAGAGCAGGGTGGCTGCAGATTCATGAGGAGGAAGCAGGGCCTGAATGTTTAGAAACACAACAAACAACAGCCCAGTGGGTCGAGAGGCCAGCTTCTCCTCCAGCAGGGGGCCAGGAAGCCAGCTGTACACACAGGTCACACCCAGGAGGGTGGGCCCCGTGGCCCCCATCACGGACATCCTCTGTGTATTTGGGAAACTTTCACTGCACTAATCATGGCCCTGAGGGACAGCAACACCTGTCTCTACCTGTCTCCTGGCTGCCAGGAGGTTAACCAGGAAAGCAAATGTACTGTGTCACTCATGGGCCTCGATTTCCTGAGTGACACTTCTGAAGACTGCAGTGATGCGAGCTGTCCTAGGCCAGGAGAGAGGAGTTCCATGCAGGCACAGCCCGTGAGCACTTGCAATCTAATGACAGCTTTATGGCAGTGCAAACATGAGGAACATCTAGATGACCAAGCAAGGGCTGGCAAATAACAGAAGTGAAAAAGAGACTCGTTAGCAATAAACTACTTACTGTCCAGCAAGTATGCAGAGAATCTGCTTAGGAAAGGAATCTGCGGAGATGGGCTGTCCTCCCTCGACTTACTACTGTGCCTGCCAACCCACGAGGTGTTTGTTAGCAATGATTAATGACACATAATAGTAACAGTAAATTAGCGTTTGTGAGTAATAATTAGCAGCTGATTTTTAGCCACTCTTACTGTGTGTCCCACCCCACCCCATCTCCAGCCTCCTGTGGACCGCATCTCTGAGGTCTCCAGTTGCTGCCCATGCCTGGTGCCTCTAGCTCTCTGGTTCTCACTTCAAGAGCAGCTCTGTCGCATCCCAACTCTCCCTCCCCTTGTCTTGACAAACTCTCATACCGCACCATCCTGCATCGGAACACCTGGACCCCAGCGTCTGAATCTCCAACTCTCCAGCTCATCTCCACAAGTTTGTGCGTGAGGCTGACCTCGCTGGTGGAGAATCCTTGCTCTGGCAATCTCG